ATTCATGGCCAATTTGGTCTGTCTCAGGGTCTGCCCAAGGGGATGTGACAGGATGTGCATCAGAGCTGGGTTTTTGAGCAGCAACAGTTCTCAATTTTTGGTTCCTATGTGGTGTTAAACTACAATTCCCACAATATCTGCCCATGCTTTCTGGGGCTTCTGGGAAATGAAGTCCAGTAGTATTTGGGGACACACACAAAAAAGAAGTGGAACTTGGATGGGAATCCTCTTGTCAAGTTTCATCCTTCTGGCCCTTCTCAGGGCCTGAATACATTGACAAATACTTTAGGATTCAAAGTATTTTTCAATGATCGCCTGATGCAAAGGTTAATGCAATTAAGCACATCATTTTTTCTTTCTGAATTGCGGCCCCCACCGCCTGCAGCTTCAGACTTCTACTTTTTAAAAGCTATAATGATTCGGTGTTCTCTGTGTGTTTTTGTTCTACAGAAGGACGGAGGAGGTTGTGACTTCGGATGGTTTTCTGGTGATGTAGTAAGTCGGGGCACAATGTTTTTGGGACAGTGGAAATAACCACTAGAGATGGGTACGAACCTGGGTTCGTAGGGTCTTGCCCTCAGTTCGTACCTGTAGCGCCACAGTATTCCCTTCCCCCACCTCCCTGGCCAATGACCCCAGTCACCACTCAGAGCGCTCTCTTCTCCTCCCACTCTTCAGCTGCTCAACCTGTCCCTGGCAGGAGTACGAGTCTGCCTATCTTGGTTCCTTGTCTGAGTGGGTGATCAGCCAAGGTGGCAGGGCAGAGAAGCCTGTGCTCCTGCCAGAGACTGGTCAAACAGTCGAAGAGGAGGAAAGGAGCAGGCACATTGGCTGGTGAGTGGAGGATCCATCAAGGGAAGTGGGGGAAAGGAACACACAGCAAACCTGTGTTGTCACATACACAAATTCTCACAATCCTCCAAACCAAGGTTCATCTCTAATACCCACCCATGCAATCTTTCTCCCTAATTGCCAGATTTTTTTGTTGTTGCTTATTCCTCTGTTACAAACTACTGAGCCTAACATTGGATCACCTTATCACTACATTTCTACGTTAGTTTAGTAACAGCCTCCACACTGGAAAAAAAAAAGAGATGACAACTGAGACTGGTTACAGGGATCACATAGTAGCTCCATTTCTGTGCAAAATTCAAAGTCCTGGTTGTAACCTACAAAGCCCCAAACAGCTTAGGGACCAAGCTATCTCAAGGACTGCGACTCCCTTTATGAGCCTGCCCGGATGTTAAGATCATAATGAGATGCCTTTCTGTCAGTGCCACCAACTTCACAGGTGTGCTTGATGGGTACAAGGGAGAGGGCCTTCTCTGTTGCTGCTCCCAGACTCTGGAATTCCCTCCCACAGGAGGCCAGCCTGGCACCATCTTTGCTGTCCTTCCGCAAGCAGGTGAAGACCTTTCTTGTCAGGCAAGTTTTCCCTCACTGACTGGCCACATGAGTGGGATTTTTAAATGGATGGTTGTGTCTTACTGCTTGGAATGCACTTTTGGCATTGCTTTTCTCTACTGTCTTTTAGTGTGGTATCTGTTTGATTTTTTTTGTAAACTTACTGTTTTAGTTTTTAATATTGTCTTTTAATGATATAAGGGACCTCTGGTCCCTCTTAAAGAGAAAAATGGAGTAAAAAAATTTAATAAATAAAATAAATATAAAATCTAAACAATGCTGACAACCTCCAGCAAACTACAATGTTTCCATAGCATCTGTGTACGTTTGCATGTGTTTGCAGAACTTGGGAAAACCGGCCCATTTTTCCAACCACCGCACAACCCTTTAAACCATCCCAGCAGCTGGACGGCTGACTATAAAAGCAGATCCAGGGATCAGCAGGAAGATGGTATCCAAGAAAGGGGTGAGGTGAGTGCAGACCAAACTGCATCAGATTGTGAGGCCAGTGGAAACACCAGCACTGAAATAATCCAGGGTATCCGTGTGGTCACCTAAATGGAATACAGTTGCAAATAAGACTGTGCATCAAGTCGATGCCAAGCCCAATTGCTGATTTGGCTCCCCAAAGTAGTTGCAGCCTTAGCCTCTGTAGGGTTTTTGGACCCGTTGCAACCATTTGCTGCTGCAGGCTGGTGGATCCAGGTGGTTTCCTGAAATCTCCTGGGATATTTCCTTCAATTAGTGCCAATAGACCTGCTCAAGTCCTGATCTCTCCCTCCCTCTCTCTCTCTTTTGAAAGAGGGAGACCATTCCAATCACTCTCAAGTATCATGTACCAGGGTATCTTTGAACTTCAGAGGTGGTTTATGGTTTGCTGGGAGGGGGGGAGAATGAGACCCGTTACAGCTAAGGAAGCAAAATGTCAATGCTGATACCAGTAGATGCCTTGATTCCGTGTGATCAGCTTCCTGCATTATTCCTTTGTATGTTAATGGAAAAGATGCCGGCTTTGCAATTCCAGATGGTCTTGGATGATAATGATTTACTTGGATCCCTTCCAGTGTGGTTTCCGGCCTGGCTGTGTAATAGAAACAGCCTCGGTTGCCATGGTGGATGGCTTACACCAGGGAACAGACAGGTGGAGTGCAACCCTCTTAATTTCTCCGGGACCCTTCAGCAGCTTTCACTGCCATCCATCATGATATTCTTCTGGGATGCTGAGCACTGCATGGATCTATTCAAACCTTTCTGGCATCCTTGTAATGAGGTGAGGTGGGGGAAATCCTCTCATCCTAAATAGATGAAGAACAATTTCGGTTGGGAGGGGAAAGCCCCTCTGTTCACAACACAGCTCCTGATCTGGCTCCTTCCCCAAGCTTATTTATTAAAACAAGCATCCCCCATGACAAGGGCAAAGCAACCCAAATCTCAGCGGCTTTGGCCCTAGAAGTGGCCTTCATGAACGACATCTTAAGGGATTCAGCCAAAACGCAAGGTTCAGCCAGAGATGGCATACAGTATAATGGTTACTAGGTGTGTGTGAGGAAAGGCACTCTTCTCATGCTCCTGAGCTATCGCTCTACTTAGGAGGCCCCTGAGCCATGGCACGCACGCATGCACGCAGGGACACACACACACGTGCGCGCAAAGAACTGGGGCAACGGCAAAGTTTGGGCTCTTTTCCAACCTCGTTACCTTCAATTTCTAACCCCTTGTAATACTGCAAACCTCAGTCGTTTTTCTCCCTGAGACGGAGACAAACCAGGCCTGGCGCCAAAACGTGGTGGTCACCCACCGCCCGAGAGGAAAAGGGGGCGCTTGCCAACTTGTCGGTCCGCCCCACCACCCTCACCGCCTCACCTTCCCCCTCCGACTAACTGATCCATAATCATCCCCTGCAGGCAAGATCAATGGCGGAGGGGGCGGGTGGAGGGGGGGAGAGGAAGGGCAGCCGGGAAAGAGGGAAGAGCCGCCGTCTCGCTGCCTTCTCCGCCTCTGCCGCGCCTCCGGCTCTCTTCCACCCCGACGCCCTCCGCGGCCCGCTCCGCCGCCGTCCGGCTGCTCTCGGGGAAGGTCCCGGCTCCGGGGAAGCGGGCGCCGGCCAAGCCCCCCAACCCCAGGCCCGCAGGATCAGCCGATCCCGCCCTGGAAAGCCCCTGCCTTGCCCGCGAGAGATGCAGGCTAGCCGTCCTTCCCTTCGCGCCAGAAGTAGTACAGCGGAGCGGGTCCAGCCGGGTGCCAGGCAGGCGGATAGAGGCCGCAGGGCAGCCGGCGGGTGTCTTGCGGACCAGAAACTTGGCACGTCCTGTGGTGAAAGCCACGGCTGAGCTCGTGAACGCACCTGCCCGAGTCATGCCAGGCCATGCTTTGGGCTTCCCAACTCCGCAGCCTCTCCCGCACTGAGAGATGCCTTTGCTCCTGCCCCACACTGTGGCTCGGCTGGTGCTATGGGCCTCTTTGTGGGAGCTGGCCCGCTCGTGGCTGAGCCGGTCCGGAGAGGGATGGCGGGAGGTGATGGCCTAGATCGCCTTCCGGCGTCCCCGCCTGTGCCTCCCACGTAGGACGGCGAGCGCACCCGCGAACTAGGAAGCTCGCCTTGAGGAAAGAGGCCAGCCCCGCGCCACCAGTTGTCCTATAAGCCCGATGCTCCAAAGAAGCGCAAGAGCATCGAAGCCGATAACACAACCGCGCTGACCGGTGCCCACAATGGATGCTGCTTACAGGTGGGAGCCTGCAGGCTCGCTCCCTACAAGGCAAGCCCGGCGGTTGCGCAGCCACATCTCAGTTCGACGGCTGCTACTTTTGCGAGCGTATACTGTATGCGGCGGGAACCAGGCCGCGTGTGCAGGGCCTGCTCACTTCCTCGCAGGCCTCCCTAGGTCGCCTTCCTTTGACTGGATCTAGGAATCTGCGCCTCCGTTGCGAAACCTTTCTGGGTCTCCGCTTCCACGCGCCGCCGAGGCAAGGCATCCCGAAGGATAAGCCCCCTCCTCCTTTAGCCGACGTGCCTTCCTCTTGCAGCGGGTGTCATTGCTTCCAAGGAACAGCAAACCGGGCGATCGAGAATAACGGCCTGGGCCTTATTTACCTGAACAAGAACGGGAAATCCTTTTTAAATCCTTGGGGAATCAAGTTATATTCCCAGTGATAGAGGGACGGGAGGGAAAAATTGCAGCTGCAAACTCGTTACAACAGATTTCAGGACCGGCAGGCCGAAGTAACTGATTGGCCCGCTTGCGGAGTCCTTAGGAACGAGGTGATAACGAGGCTTTCAAATTTCATTGACGTAACAGGTTAGGGTGTGGAAGAAGTGAGAATGAGGAGGACGGTCAAGAAGAGGCCGAGCAGTGCCGTTGACTGGTTCCTCTTTCCGTCTGGCTGTTTAAAAGGGAATACGCCTTTGCAAGGTTGTTTGCCTCTCTAGCTAAAGTGTGCTGCTTATGCACCACCCCATAGCGCTTAAAGCACTCTCTGGGGGGGGGGGGTTACAATGTAATTATGCCGGCTGCACATGCCCCCCCCCGCCCCAGCGGGCTTGGTACTGGGTTTACCGACCATGGAAGGCAGAGTCAGTCCTGAGAGGGTTACAGTACCTGAGCCCAGGATTGAATTTAGGTCTCGAGCAGTCTTGTCTGCAGTACAGCAGTTTAATCACTGGGTCAGGGAGTTCTTAAAGCCAAAGGTTGCACTTAAGTGGACAGAAGATCTTGTATGAAACCCAAAGGCGCTTTACCAGATGCAGCTATGCAGTCAGAAGTATGTACCTGTCCACCCCACTCTGGATTTAATAGCGCTTACTCCCGGGTGATTGTATTTAGCACTGCAGTCATGCCTGATAAAAGTGATCGTGATATTTCCATTAGTGGCTCGCTGATGCGTTTGGGATGCCTGCGCCTCCGAAGACGTGAGGAAACAGAATGGTAATTATCGTGAGTTCGCATAATAGCACAGCATATTTATTCCTTCATTTTCTCTCTCCGGGCTGTGGCTATGCATTCTCTTTGGAGACATGGCTATGGCGGCTGTCATGGTGAACTGTCACTTTTTCCTTCTGTATACTGTACAGTATTTCCCCACCGGTTGATGCTATTTCAGGTTCATGCAACTATCTGGGGAAAGGGAATTGTTTGGGGGAGCTAACCCACTCCAGGTTTCTGGTTCTGGCTCCTTCTTTGACGCCGATTAGAAAGGCACAAACATAGACGGGATTATTTCTGTGGCATTCCTCGTTCGTTACATTTATATCTCGCTTTGCTTCCAAACAAATGGCTACCAGGTAGCTGCTTCTGTTTCCTCAGGACAAGCCTATGAGGCCCAGAGATTGTGACTAACCCCAGTCAGCCACTGCGACTCAGGAGAAAGCGGGGATTTGAACCCGCGTCTCCCTAGTCCGGCACTCTAAACCTCCCCCAGCTTAGGCTCATGTAATTTTAGCGCTCCTTTCCGGGTCTCCACTTCAAAGACTGGCTCCACCCACCCACCACTTTGCTTCTGTAACACTTTCTTTGAGGGGGGGTTGCAGGAAAGGAGGAAGGACCCCGTTCGGCTTTAGGGCTTTTTTTGGGGGGGGGGGAGGTTGGACTCGACCTCTTTGATCTCTTCCCGCTCCCCCAAGATTTGATGAGACCACCCCCACCTGGGAGGAGGGGACAAGAGAAGGTGACCCTCCCACCCCCGTGTACGGGGGACTGGGACGCCCGAGGCGGGGGGGGGACCACAGCGGTACCGCGGAAAAGTAGGGACATGAGACCGGCGAAGAATCCAGGTGGGTCGATTGGCGCAGGAGAGGAGNGAGGGCGCGGGCCGTCCTGAGAGGAGGTCCCGATCGGTCGCGGAGCTCGGTCGCCTGCGTTTAGGAATGGTCGAGCATAGGAGTGATGACAGATCGATGGATGGGCTGGGTGTGACACGTGTCCACGATGCTCGTGTCCCTCTCCGTGCGTGCGCTCGGTCCTCCGGGTATCTCTTGGTCAGAGAGGAGGGAGCCGTCCCTCGGGGCTTGCCAGGGAGACCTTGCGATCCCGCCGCTCGGGGGCAGGTGGGACGACATATGTCCGGGCGCCTGGATCCCTCCCTCCTCGCAGATCGATGGATGGGCTGGGTGTGACACGTGTCCACGATGCTCGTGTCCCTCTCCGTGCGTGCGCTCGGTCCTCCGGGTATCTCTTGGTCAGAGAGGAGGGAGCCGTCCCTCGGGGCTTGCCAGGGAGACCTTGCGATCCCGCCGCTCGGGGGCAGGTGGGACGACATATGTCCGGGCGCCTGGATCCCTCCCTCCTCGCCTCGGCT